AATTCATTTTACGCCTTAGATATCGTATCGTTAATCTGTGGCATTGCCTATGTGAAATTTATCTTGACTAAACCAGTTACAACAACAATTGTTAATCTTCATAACAGATACGACCAACTGATTAAACAAAGGCCGAAATTGTCATGTGGGAACAAGTTCCTTGGTAAGAATTATCAAAGAATGAGCAATCATTGATGTTTGAAATTTACAGAAATAAATTATTCAATGTAAGCAGGCAGATACAAGATATTTCTAAAACCAAAACCCACAAGTAAATGAAAAAAAAAAAACAAAAAAAAAACACCAGAACAAAAATCTAATCTTTTTCAAATCAAGATTTATTTCACTTAGAAGTTCAGATAAGCTAGAGCATTGCAAGTTATTAATTATTGACTAGTATTTCGGCAAATTTGGACCTTCATATTCTCTCACACACAAAAATTGGGGTGTCAAGAGGACGGTTTTTCCCTTGATACCACTATTATTTTAACTACCTCCACTCTTCAGCAATATACATGTGGCAAATGGGCGATTAAGGTTTTATTCAACTCAAAAAGACACAGGAGTTGTAAACAAAGATGGCGACTTTAGAACTCTTCTGTTAAGGAGAAGAATCCCTTAATAAGGGTTGATAACTATAATATTATTTTACCACAATCACCACCGCATCGTAAAAGAAATTGGGTGTACATGCATTGTGATAAAAAATAGAAATAAATAAAATCGAGTCCTTAAAAGGTCTAAATGGGAATATGAATGTCCCCAGTTCCTTTTTGTCAACACAGGCATATGCGTCCTGTAGATCATGTTTCCTGATGAATTCATCCATCTTTCTTTGGAAACAAGTAGTCTCATTGGTCACACCAAACGGCATCCTAGTAAATTGGTAGAGCTGACCCCAGATTGGAAAGCTGTATAAGGCATGTCATCAGGATGCAATGGGATTTGGGGATATGCACTTTTTAAATACATTGTGCTGAAGTATTGTACTGGGCTAGCTGGCTGACAGTAATTTCAATATTGGGCTTGGTAGACGAAATAAAGGGTTCGGTCTGAAATTCAAATCACCTGAAGAAGGCCGAAGCATACATTATGAATATGGCAATGAATGGCTTCCTCTCAGTAGGAAGCTTCTGCGGTGACTGGTTTGTAGTTGCAATTGTTAGACAACTCGCGCAGTGCCTGTAGAAATTGGTTGATTGATTCATCAGGTTTCTGGCGACGACTAGTGAGTAGGTGTCGCAAAAAAATCTCGTTCGTTGGTTTAAATATTTTCTAGTGTTTGTATGGCTTTCTCGTATGTATTACAGTTTTCTATGTAGTCATACACTGTCCGGTCTATGTGACTTAATAAGACACTGAATTTATCCAGCGTTACACCAAGTGTGTCTGAGTTGCTGAACGTCCGGTACCAAAATTTCAACTCCTTCACAGCGATTGGTGAATTGGGGGTCCTGACTGAATGTTGCCTAATATTGAACTCACAACTCTTTGGGTCTAGTCATTGGATCTAACCAACATCTTTCCACAGCAGTGGTGATCCAAAAACTTGGAGAGTTGATTTAAATGGGAAATGAGACATCCGGACAGGGCATAGCATGTGGAACTAGAGCAAACTACCTTGGTGGAAGAAATAAAGGATTTGGTCTGAAATTCCAATTACCCGAAGAAGGCCAAAGCGTACTTTATGAATATGGCAATGAAGATGAGGATAACAGTCCAAATAATGTAAATAATGCAAGAAGTCCATTTCTTCTCCCTGGTATGGGTTAAATAGCTGAGTAGATGCAGATCTGTAGCCTTGATTAGCAACCAGTCTAGAAGGATAACTGAATTCAAAAACCAGTTGGTGTGATAACGGGCAAAGAGAAGGCTTTCAGCCTTTATTAGCAATTTACTTAGAAATGGTGAGTATATATTTATTAATCACTTTAAACGTTAATGGATACTCGGATTTGAGTAGAATGTTTATTTTTTAAACAGTATATTCGTCTACCGGCCTGATCTATTCAAATATGAGTAGCCACTAAATATAAGTTTTAAAATGATAAACAATGTATCAGATTAATAAAAATCCACTACTTAGCTATATAAAGTGATAAAAAACAAGAAAAAATCAATTGCTGAAATCTTCTGATGAGTGGACTGAGAGATTGCTGGAGGGTCCGTCTATGAAAATAGATACTGATAGATAGTCGAGATACTGAAAATGAGATCAATCATTTAAGTGACATTTTATATTTGTATTAATCCTATATATTCTACACATATACAATATAAAAATGAAAGAAACTTGCACCAATGAAAAATGCATATAAAAAAGAAAAATGGTGTAGTAGTCAGTTGCTGATACTCCCTGATAAGAGAGCGTAATTCACAAAGGGTCCATTTACGAAACTCTGGAGTTGGGATGCTGAAAGTAACAGCAATCAGCTAAGGACAAACCTTTTACTATATATATATATATATATATATATATATATATATATATATATATATATATATATATATATATAAAGCAGCTTAGGCTACTTGTGGAGACGTGTTGGTCCATAAAAATGCAGTGATTGAAATTATGAAATCATGTGATTTTTTTTTATGCAATCTACTGCACAGCTTTCCTGTCCCCATTAGGCACATCTATAGTGTTGCAGGTGAGGACCTATTCTGTTTTTTTTTTTTTTGGGGGGGGATTGATAGGGGTTACAAGCTAGGGTCAGATTTCTGAATATCTACATTTGGAATGTCAACTTGAGTAGAACAGAGAACAAATGTCAGAAATGATGGAGTACAATTTGAATTCCATTTACGGCTTTTATTTCCAATTGACTGTCTGCACGAGGAAGAAGGACGGAAGAAAAAAGCGATGTTTATTTGTGCGATAGTAATCATAAGTTGTTTAGAAGAGGGGGATAAAACAAATAGACGGTGAAACAGATTTACAATTGCTTTAATATGGATAAGCAACTCTCTAAATGCCATGTCTCATTTAGATCTCTCCACAGCTTCCTCTTTAACTGCAAAGATCTGATAATCTGAAGTTGAACTATAGGACTGCAATGTTATCAACAGTTCATATCAATTGTTTCATATCAACAGTTCATATCAATTGTTTCATATCAACAGTTCATATCAATTGTTTCATGACTAATAATGAGAGTTCTGAGGAGAAACTGACATTTTTTGCCTTTTTTTTTTTTTTTTTTTTTTTTACATGCACTTAACATGACGCCCACAAGATTTTGTGCTTCATGCTGACTCACCCGACTTTTAATATAAAGGCACTGGCGGTACTAACTTATTTTGAGCCAATGTCAATCTAATTATGATTGAATCCATTTTATACTGTTTAACCCTGTTCAGGTTATTTAAAGCCAGAACATATTTTTAGGTTGTAAGAATTGAGAATTTGATAAACAAGAAATTCTGTGGATATAAAGATCAGTTGTCTATTGCAATCAATATATATAAACTGATCCCTAATATTGGGGCCACTATAGTTTCTATAGCTTTATATTTCAAAGAATGTTAGTTCTGGGTATGATGATAAACTCCATCCAGCAGCAGGGCCTCTGATCTTGAGATGGGAGGTTTTGAGGAGAGTGGAAGCTCCTCTTAATTGCTGTTGTTCCCAGATCCACTGATGACCCAGGGTGGTAGCACCTGTTAGGACCCCAGCTATAGTGAACCTCCAAATAAAAACAAATAACGAACACTACGTATTTATAGTAAAATTACCAACAATACATTTTATCTGTAGTTGAAAGCATACAAATGCATTCAAAATATTTAGATTTTGGCATTAAGTAAACCATTCGTCCTGGGTATGATGATAAACTACATTTCAGCAGCAATGCCTCTGATCGGGTGATTGGTGGTTTTGAATACCATGGGACCACTTCTTAATTGCTGCTGTTCTCAAATCCATCTTGACTCGAGGTCCCAGCTATGGGTAAATAGTTAACCCTAAAACTAGGCTTTATTTAACTAACCAAAACACTATGAAAGTATTAAAAAAAAAAAATTATAGTAAGAAAAATACCAGCAATACATTTAAAAAAAAAATACCAGCAATACATTTGACTCAACAAAAACCCTCTTTACAAAAACACGTCAATGAAACCTGATTTACAAACTGATTTCTTACAAAGAATACATATTCTATTCATATGAACTCATCTTAAACTGAAGGTGATATGCCCTAAAACTAAATCGATAGCAGTTGATGTGCTCCTAAACAAATCAACCAATCATCTACCATGTATTCAATTGTGAAAGCAAAATAACTTTTTTATTATTTCAAAGCTCCCAAGAAAATTAAATTTGGGTATTAAATGTCCCATAAGGTGTTGATATGCTGTTAAAAAATCCATTAATCAATCCAGGGGATGTAAATGAATCTAAACGACATGCCTCTGTAGCTAACCAGCATTTCATTGATGGATTCATTTTTTTTTTTTTTTTTACAGCTTATCAACCATTTGCAGGTTATTGAAAGCCAGAAAATATTTTTAGATGTAAGAATTTTTTCTTTTTGGAGATAATGATTTAGAGGCACAAGTCTTACTAATTAACCCATATCTAGGAGGAGGAGAAGTTTATAAAGAAATGATAATGTGAATATAAAGTGGAGTATCAATTCTATATTACAATCAATACATAAATTGACCCCTCACTTTGTGGCCACGGTAGTTTGTATATATTTATATTCCAGAGAATGTAAATCAATCTAAAAGGCATTCCTGTGTAGCTAATCAGTGTTTCATTGATTCATTCATTTTCTATTTGAAGCCAGAATATATTTTTAGATTGTAAGAACTTTTTTCTTTTTTTTTTTTGAGATAATGATTTAGTAATATAAGTCTTGTTAATTAACCCATATCTGGGGGAGAGTTGATTCATACCTTTCCAAAGAATATTTCCACATAAGCGGATTTAATGAAATTCAGCGAATTAACAATTCCCAACCATTATCCATTACACCACCCGCACATCCAAGTTTACAGCACTTGGTATTCGAAAGTGGTCATCCATCTGGGAACTAACCAAGCTCAATGCTGCTTAACTTTGGTGATCATAAAGGAACTGGTGTTTCAGTATGATGTTGTAGAATTCACAAGAAATACCTAATACCACCAAGCAGTGCCAGTGTCTTGTGCCTCACCCCCAAAATCTATTATATGAGACACCCCGAATCTATGATACATGGCCCACAAATCTACTACATCTCATTTGTGATAAAGATGGTTTTCATATGAAATACAAATTTTATTGTAACCTAATTGTGTACAATAATGGATCCTATGCAATATAGGCAAATAATTCAACTAGAAAAATTGAAAATGAATACAATGTCTCTAAATACAAATTAGAGACATGTCATAATAGATCATCATCATCATGTCACTTGACTACTTCAATCGTCGGGGGTTGGGGTGAGGGTCTCTATGAACAAAGGAAAAAGACAACTTCCTCCTGTAGATCTTGGTAGGGATTGTGCAAATGTCTCGTCTGCCACCCCTGAATCTATGATACCAGCTCCTGACTCTATTACATCTGAATTTTCATATAAAATACAAATTTTATTGTAACCTAATTATGTACAATAATGGATCAGATGCAATATAGGTGAACAATTCAATTTGAAAAATTAAAAATAAATACAATGTATCTAAATACAAATTGGAGAGAGGTCATAATAGATCATCATCATCATATCTCTTTACTGCTTCAATCGTCAGGAGTTGGGGGTTATGAACAGAAGAAACAGACAACTTCCTCTTGTGGATCTTGGTCGGCCTGGTCCAAAGGTCTCGTTCCCCACCCCTGAATCAATGATACCAGCTCTCCACTCGGCTAGATCTCAATTTTCATAAGGTAATCTTCATATAAAATACAAATTTTATTGTAACCAAATTATATACAATAATGGATCCTATGCAATATAGGTGAACAATTCATTTAGAAAATTTCAAAATAAATACAATTATATTGAAATACAAATTAGAGAGATATAATAGATCATTCCATTTTAAATAAATTAATTTTTTGCAGTAATTTTTAAGATCAAGTTGAGATTGTTCTTAAAAATTCAAAATTATGGATAAAAAAAAAGTAAATTTTAATTTTATATAGTGTTCTTTTTTTTTTTTAGATCTAGCATGAACACAACAAATTCAGGAATTTGGCCCAAAGAAAAAAAGCCCCTAGAATGATATAATTTTTTGCAGTTTAGCTGTGTCATGCTTAGAATAAATTTTGCAATAAATTTACTAAATGAACAAAACTGGATATTTATAGAAATTGGTATTTATACATGAAACTTAGTCACAAAAGCATGGCAGAGCACTTTGTGAGAACCCTGATCATTACTATACTGTAAATGGTCTCATGCTTACTCCAATGGCATCATTCTGGAAGTGTCTTCCTCATTAAAATTGACTTTTCCATGCATCATGGCTTCAGATTCAGGATTGAACATTGGGGGATAGCAATACAGGACCAAACAGTGTGTAAAGGGATTTTGTCAATTGAGTTCAGTAGACCAAGCATAAGGAGGTCAAATGAGGATGATGATGGTGATACTGTAATCATCAACCATTAAACCCCCCGTCCGATTTAAATATTTTGAACATTTTCCCCCCCACAGCACCCACCTTTATAAGTTTCAGCGCTCCTTTACCTGTCCTTCCAGCTGGGATCAAAGTGTATAGTGTTTTCTCTTTCTGCGGTGTTTCTGCCTATTGACATTTTACAACAACAACAACAAAAAAAAAGCTGAGGAATGTCTGATCCTGAAGATTTCAACCTTGCGGTAACACTTCCATCATTGCAGTGAACAGAGAGGGATTGATGAAATACAAACACCACCATGATAGTGATTGCAATTTTTTTTTTTGTACAAGACACACATATATGTAAGCGTATAGCTACCCCTACATTTAAAAAAAAAATATCCCGCCACCTGGGGTGAGGGGTGCTGTAAATATCCAGCATCCACTTCTAAAACGTGTGTATTTACTCTGTATGTCCAGTAGATCCACCGAGTAGCACTCATCAGCATTATGAATCTACAGTACACGTGTTCTGTTACCACAGCACAGAAACTGTATCATTTCGCTTCCCCCCCCCCTTTTTTTAAAGATTAGGCACCTTTTAGAGTGATCACCGTTTTGACCACTTTCGGTTATGCCCTTAGTATATCACAGGAACCTTTCATAATAAAAGCACCAAGTATGTAGTCGGTAATTTTATCATCCTCCTAATCTAACCCCCAACGTTATCACCGGTTTGTAACTTAACTTCTTTCTTTACATCCGTCTTCTATTTGATTTCTATGTTATTATTTGAACATTTGTTTAAAGTAGCCATATTTTATACGTTTGTATCTGAGTAGAATCCTTTCAAAACGTCTCCACATACGCTGTTGTAACATTGTAACCTTTTCCCGTGAACTCACTGCAACATTAAAACGTATTTCTGTAGCAAAATTTATAAATATTCATGCAAATGAAATATTCGCTACACTTCTTTACCCATTTAGACAAATGGTTTTCGTTTTATGTTCAAGCCTCCGGTTGCGTTTGTCATATTCCGTATTACTTTTGTTTGGTGTGTATTTTCAAACTAACTAGTCTTATTTATATGTATTTATTACTTTTTCTAGTTTTACTCTTTTGGTTATTAATAAACCTGCCAAGGTATGGGACTTTGTCAGAGTTTAAATTGCCTTACGGCGTTTATCTGGCCGTCTTCGAGATTATTACGCATGCGTATGGCACGGACGCGTACTCTCTGGAGCACTGGTATTTACCAATTCCCCCACGAGAATGAGATGTGACACAAAGTCGGTTTAATGCGGGGACCCGAGCGCGTACACCCTGGCAGGGACAAAAATTCCCCTCAGCCCCCATACAACCGTCGGTTGCGCTGGCCTCGGTGCGAGCACCGATCGCTCTCTCTTGTGCAATGGGAGGGCGAGGCCTCGGGCAGCTGTTCCCCAGGGCTGGACACCTCTTCAGTATAATTTTCCTCAGTTGCCCCTCTGTTCTTTGACAGAGAAGCCCCTGAGCGCACTCTGTCCAGGGACAGAGACGCAACTGAGAGATGATAAATAATGTGAAATCCCCAAAAGAGGAATTTGCACACTCTCTGGAGCACTAGTGTCTCTAAAAGGAAAAAAAAGAATTTAAGTTTTTGATATCTTAGAAGCACAACGGTAATTGTGAAATTCGTCGTTTTCATACAGAAAACTTTCTGATTTCAAAACATTTTCGAATTGTGTCACGTTTTCCATCGTCTGTTATTATCGCCTCAGACATTTTTTTTTTTACTTGCTTTTTATTTTAATATCTCCAATTCGTAACTCTTAACGATCATACATTCTGTCATCTTACAAATGATAGTATTTTCTTCCTGTTACTACTTTTTCTAGGAGCACCTGCAGTTTTCTTTCTGTGTCTGTTAAGCAGACCAACACTATGCATGAACCAATTTGGTCATTTCATTTTATTTAATTATCTTTTTCAGAAAAAGGAGCCCAACAAAAGTCAATGAAGCTAAGCGAGAAGAAAGGTCTAAACATCAATTCCAAGACGGAGAAATTAATGGTTATTAGTAAAATGGAGAGTCCAACATGCAAATTACAAAGTGGGGATGCCAAAATCAATCAAGTACAACAATTTAAATATCTGGGACTTGTTTGAACATGTATTGGGATAGGGAAAGATGCCTTCTAAAAGCTAAGCAAAGTATTATGAAACGGAAAATCTGGAGGCGCATTGGTAGCTTCTGTAAAAATGGATGGCAGAACAGGTTTTTATTAAGAGGTACAAAAGATAGGAAGTTTGTTGGTTTGATTGATTTTGTTTAGCGGCATATCAACATCTCTATGCGTTATTTAATGACGAAATCTAAATATTTTGAATGGTTTGGTTGGTCGATTTTGTTTAGCAGTATATCTATGGTGCCGAAATTTACATATTTTGAACACAAATTTATGGCTTCAACTACATTGAACTATTGTCGGCCATTTTGCTATAAAATTTATTATTGGTAATTCTTTTTAAAAATTTATTGTTGGTAATTTTTTATATAAAAATGTATTGCTGGTATTGTTACTATAAAAATTTATTTTTATACTTTTATAGTGTTGGGGGGGTTGCTATTTACCCATAGCTGGGGCCTTAACAGGTGCTACCATCCTGAATCAGGGTGAGCCTGGGAACAACATCAATTAAGGTGGTTCCATGCTCCTCAAAGCCTCCAATTTCTCAATCACAGACCTTGCTGTCGGATGTAGTTTAAGAAGTTGCGGAAAGACATGGCACATCAAATTAAACTTCAAATAACAGTGTTTCTACGTCGTTATACATTTGCAAACCCAATGGTACTAAATTCTAAATCGACTTGGTCGCCTATATAAGCATAAATTAAGTTATGCTCCCCAACTTGCAAACAGCGAAATTTAGGTATTATTAACAGTAACGGATTTTTTAAAAACTCCAGGTTTTGGATGTATGGTTGAGATAATGAATAGCGGCTTGGAATGAGAAATCAATTTAAATCCCAAGCAAGACAATAAAGCCACTAAGATGCAAAGGTTTATTGAGCGTGAGAGAGTGAGAAAAAAAACCTAGAGAGAACAATAAAAGAATAGGAATTAAAACAAGATATAACAATTGATCCTGAATTTAAATTTTTGAAAATCAAAGTTGACTGGAAAACACGGAGCCGGAAGAAAGTTCCACGGAAAAAAGGTAATTTTAAAAAAAATACGATAAATTTTGAAAGTATTTTGGTTTCAAACAATGTTTCTGAATGTTGAGTCATTGACTTAATACAAAAAAAAAAAAAAAAAAAAGTTACCCTTGTAACGGGAAGTGATTCACGCCTGACCTAAAACTATTGTTTACATGTGATATGAAGGGAAATTGATTGAGAGAGAGTGGGGGGGGATTATTTTTCTCAAAGGGGTGGGGAGTTGTTGTGTAGGAAACCTTCCACCCCTCTTGAAGATGAACTTGTCTACAAACAAAGACTTTAAATAGTGGCATGTCAAAAGACAGAAGTTCTTAGCTGAGCTAGTTATAGACTAC